CCTGGTCAGGGCACATGCCCAGGTTGTGGGGCATACAGGAGGCGGCCAATCAATGTTCACTCTCATTGATGTTTCTATCTCTCCCTCTCTCTCTAAAATCAATAAAGAAAAAAAATTAAAACAAACAAGTAAGGTGCCATTTTTGCCCTTCAAATTCTCCAAAAATTGAAAAGATTCATAATGCATGTTAATGAGGGTATGAAAGGCTAAGTACTCTTATGCCATATTGATGGGAATTTATGTTAGTGTAGTTTTTAAACAGTTATTGTGATAAGAGATACATAACATAAAATTTACTATCTTAACCTTTTTTTTTTTATCTTCACCCAAAAACATTTTTCCATTTTTTGTTCAGAAAGAGCGGGAGGGAGAGGAAGAGAGAGAGAGAAATATTGACGTGAAAGGGACACATCAAGTGGCTGCCACCTGCATGACCCAACCAGGGCCAGGGACAAACTGCAACCGAGATACGTGCCCTTAGCGGGAACCGAACCCGGGTCTCTCTGGACCGCAGGTCGACCCTCTAACCACTGAGAAACCCGGCCAGGGCTTAACCATTTTTAAGTGTATAGTTCAATGTCATTAGAACATTCACATTGTTGTGCAACCAAAACCACCATAATCTCCAGAACTTTTTCATCATCCCAATCTTAAACTCCGTATGCATTAAACACTAACTTCTCATTCCCCCTCCCCCTAGGCCCTGGCAACCTCCATTTTTTTCTGTCTCTACAAATTTTATTATTCTATGTACCTCATATAAGTAGAATCATATAGTATTTGTCCCTTTGTGACACTTATTTCACTCAGCATCATGTCTCCAAGGTTCATCCATGTTGTAGCATGTATCAGAATATCCTTCCTTTTTAAGACTGAATAATATTCCATTGTGTGTGGTATAACCTTTTTAAAGGACAATTTTATAGTAATCACAAATTTTAAAATGCTATGTTTTTTGATACAGTAATAAAAGACATTTACAAGGATGTTCAAAATTAGGTTACAATTGTGAGTATGAGAAACAATTTCTGTCCTGAAAGAGGCCTGGAACTATGTGCAATCCACAGTGCTAGATAGGGACGGAGATGGGAGAGATCATGGCTTCTCAAAATATGAGGAACACTGACAGCAAAGTTTAAATAAAAAGTGAAATTGGAAAACACTGAGTTAAACAATGTTAAACAAGGTCCTTTAAGGCAGATCTTCTTGGAGCCTTTAATATGCTAGTGCGTATTCTAAGTCTCCTGGAGGGAGGTAACAATTACCCAAGCGCTTGTGACCACATCCTTTATAGTGATTATGTTTGGATACACTGATATTAGAAATACCTGAAGGTAAAAGCATTCCTTAAGAGTAGTTGTTGTGGTAGGCGTTTCGTGGTCAGAGGAGTAGGTGCTAGAACATATTACTGAGGTTGGCCGAGACCTACTTAACTGAGAAGTGAACTTCACTAAACTTCTGATGACAAAATTAAATTTAAAATAAAAAGGGAGACTAAGGATAGTAATGGGATCAATATAAGTATATAAAAAAAAATCCCAAAACTTACTTCCCTGTTAATACTGTTGCACTGAGTGCAATATACCTTCCCAGAAATCAACTTCTGTCTAAAGCTTCCACTTAGATTCAGCTGGGCATAATTAAAAGGGAGCCATGGCTTGCCCCTTCAGATTATTTGAGGAATGAGCACAGTATAATTAAAGTGAAGGGTCTTGAGGTTCAGGAAGTCCCATGAGATTTAGTTCTAGAGGCCCTGGGAGATGCATATATAATGAACCAGAGACTTGTGCATAATATCAGTAACTCAAACCAATTTGTGATCATAATCTGACTTCAGGGCAGAAGTACTTTGCTTGCTGTTGGACAGGAATGCTTGTTGTGAACAATGCTGATGCTATGTTGCAAATGACTTCAGGCCTCTTGGAAGCCTATGGTGGAAGAAATGAAAATATTTCTTCCCTTTTGTGGAACCAAATTTAAACTCTAATAGTTGTGTCTCCACAGCCACACTCTGAATTACTTTATTACACTGCAACATTTTTATACAGAGGATGTATCTTTTAAATTGAATGGTCTTACTAGCAAAAACTTTTTCTTGGGAGTGGCATCAGGCTACAGGGATTTGCTTTCAGTATGCTAAGCAAACATTCTTTTAACACATCTTTACACACAGGTGTGCAAGGACTTTTTCAGGAAAGATAATAGAACACACTAACAAATTCCTAAGTAGAAGGTAGACGATGAAGATTACAGTTTGAGATGGTAAAGCAAAGGTTAAAGACACACGAAGAGCCTTTCAAGTGTGTGCAGGGTGAAATTTGCTGAGATCCATGAATACCTTTGAAGATTCCTATGGAAGAGATCCTGAGAATTAAGACAGGAACAGCTAAAAACTTGTTTTCACGACCTGGCCGGTTTTGCTCAGCGGTTAGAGCATCGGCCTGCGGACCCGAGAGACCTGGGTTCGGTTCCCACCAAGAGTTGCAGTTTGTCCCCGGCCCTGGTTGGGTCTTGCGGGTGGCAGCCACTCCATGTGTCCCTTTCACATCGGTGTTTCTCTCTCTTCCTCTCTCCCCCTCCCACTCTACCTGAACAAAAAATGGAAAAATGTCCTTGGGTGAGAATAAAAAAAAAATTTTTTTTCACGACTGTAGACTAGACCCGTTAGTGTCATCACAGTGAAGATTTGGTAGAAATAACAAAATGTGTGCAAGTCCTATTTGCCCAAACGAACCACTGTTCAGTGAAATGCATTTATTCTTAAGATTAAAAAAAATAATAATAAATTTGTTGCCTTGGCTGGTTTGGCTCAGGTTAAGAGCATCGGCCCTCAGACCGAAGTGTCTAGGGTTTGATTCCTGGTCAAGGGCATGTACCTGGGGTTGCAGGTTTCATCCCCGACCCAAGGGAGGCAATCAATTGTTGTCTCTCACACATGTCTCTCTCTCCCCCTTCCACTCTATCTAAAAATCAATGGAAAAATATCCTCAGGCGAGGAGTACCAAAAAAATAAAAAATTTAATATTGATTTTAAGAAACATCGATTTGTTATTCCAACTTTTTTATGCATTCATTTATTGATTCTTTTATGTACCCTGACCAGGATTGAACCCTTAAACCTTGGTGTATATCAGGACAAGGCTCTAATTAACTGAGCTATATGCAGCCAGGGCCTATTCTTTGGGTTTATCATCAAGGCTTTTATTAGGTGTGAAGAAAAATGTGGGAAAGAACTTACATTTTTTTCTAAAATTTACTTTAGAAGGAGGGAGAGGGAGACATACAGACCTGTTGCCTTCTGTACTCACCCCAACTGGGAATCAAACCTTTACCTTTCAGTGTACAGGACATGATCCAACCATACCAACCAGGGGGAAGAACTTAATTTTTAAAACTCAGATTTAATATCAAAAGGCCTGTTTTTAAGTTATTTTATTGCATATTCAACAAGAAGCCTGCTTAATAAAAGCACTAGTTTAAGGACATTTTTTAAAATCCTCACTTGAAGATATTTGTCCATTTATCTTCAGATACGGGGCGGGGGTGGGGAGGCAGGCATTGACTGGCCATCTCCCACACGACTCTGACCAAGGCCAGGGACTGAACCATCACTGAGGTGTCCTTGACCAGAATCGAACCCATGACTCTGGTCTGCGGGCCAACACTCTTACCTGCTGAGCCAAATTGGCCAGGGCCTTAAGGACATTCTTAAGGGGAGGGAACCTAATGTAACTTCATGGATTTTATGAAGTATATCAGAATTGACAGGGCATTTGGATCCTAGTCCTTGGTTTCCCCCCAGCAGGAACTAAGCCATGAGCAGGTCAACGGTGCAATAATAACATTGGAGATATCACCTTCCAATGCAAGTGAAATGTGTTCCCTTAAAGGCTTTTTCATTACCACCACCTTTCTGGCCCAAGTCTTTTATTGCCACTCCAAGGAGTTAAAACATTATTTCACTAAATGAGTCAAAAAACTAGTGCTATCTCATGTCTAACTTAACTAAGAAACCCAGTGTGTTAAGTACTCCAGTTTAATTTTTATGTTCAAATTTAAGTGGGATTTCTAGAGCAGATGTATGAGATACTACTGCTAAAGCAGAATTCCTAAAATCATGCACCAAGCCATTCTGAGGTTCACCTGGACTACCAAGGGCATATTTCTAGGCCTGATGCTTGGCTTTCTACATTTTAACAATGCACCTCTGGATCATCCATAAGATGCATTTGTAGTGATACCAATGTTAGTAGTACCTGGAAAATTATTCCCCTACAGTATAGAGAAAAAAAAACCAGGATTTCAACTTCTCCCACCTACACACACTCCACACACCACTCAATTCTGTCCCAAGTTGAGAAATCATATATTACTGGCTACATTCCACGCAACTATAAAGGGGAAAGGTTGAGAACTTAAAAAAGCACCACAGGAATAAGGACATCTCACATCCAAATAGATTATGGCAGCATAAGAACTACTTACATGAGGTTTAAATACAAACGAAAACTTTTATCAAGTTGCAAATTAGAGAATTTCATTTGCTGTTGCAATCTTTCTCCTTACAAGAATGTAAAGCTGTTAGTCATTAAGATTAGATTGCTATTAGGTCCTATCCTCATTTGCTGCCATACCAGTGTTAGCAAGTTGTCTTAGAATACGCTTTTATCTCATGTTCTTTCAAACTTGACAAGGGCTCCACTCAATTCTTGGCTCTAACTTCACATACAACTGACAGGATTAGGGTTCCATTTCACTACCTAAAATTAAACACTTGAGTGTAATGCACTAGTGTGCAAGAAAAGCTTAACAGTCAACTGGTAATTGCAAGACTTAGACCAAGTTCCTATATCTTGGCACACCCTATGTTTACCAAAGTCAAATGACTTCACCTTGGTCACATTAACCGTCTCAAAATTAAATCCTTTCCTTAAACATCATTTTAACCAGTTAGGAGTCCCCACACCACTACCTAATTTCATGACCAAACAGACACAAAATATGCTACCATGCAACGAAAACTTTATTAACATTTTGAACAGATTCAGTTATTACTGAAACTGGTAATTTCTAAACTTAAATTGGGGCAAATGGTTAGAATGCAGGGTAGTGCCATCACTGGGCACTAGGAATGCAAAACTGAATTAACAGCCACCCCTCAGACGGAGGACCAGGTGCAGGGTGGACTCTTTCTGGATGTTGTAGTCAGAAAGAGTGCGCCCATCTTCCAGCTGCTTGCCCGCAAAGATGAGCCTCTGCTGGTCAGGGGGGATGCCTTCCTTATCCTGGATCTTGGCCTTCACATTCTCAATGGTGTCACTGGGCTCCACCTCCAGGGTGATGGTCTTGCCAGTCAGGGTCTTCACAAAGATCTGCATACCACCCCTCAGACGGAGGACCAGGTGTAGGGTGGACTCTTTCTGGATGTTGTAGTCAGAAAGAGTGCGGCCATCTTCCAGCTGCTTGCCTGCAAAGATGAGCCTCTGCTGGTCAGGGGGGATGCCTTCCTTATCCTGAATCTTGGCCTTCACATTCTCAATGGTATCACTGGGCTCCACCTCCAGAGTGATGGTCTTGCCGGTCAGGGTCTTCACAAAGATCTGCATACCACCCCTCAGACGGAGTACCAGGTGCAGGGTGGACTCTTTCTGGATGTTGTAGTCAGAAAGAGTGCGGCCATCTTCCAGCTGCTTGCCCGCAAAGATGAGCCTCTGCTGGTCAGGGGGGATGCCTTCCTTATCCTGAATCTTGGCCTTCACATTCTCAATGGTATCACTGGGCTCCACCTCCAGAGTGATGGTCTTGCCGGTCAAGGTCTTCACAAAGATTTGCATTTTGACCTACAGAGTTCAAAAGGCATAAACCTTGTGTATCATTTCAGAATCTTTACATTTATTAACTTCTATATCTAATTAATTCTTCAAAATTGAGTTTACTCTTCCAAAACGCCTTCAACCATGTACATCTCTCACGAACCTCCAATTTTTACTAGACAAGCTGTATTAGTCATCAAATACAAAATACCTTTTTTGAAAAACTTAATCCTTATCCGGGGATATGTTAATGATTTTGAGAGAAGGGGGAGAGAGGGAGAAAAAGGCATCGATGTGAGAGAGAGACATTGAGAAAAACTTTAAGAGCCCTGACCCGGAAATGAACCCGCGCAACCTTTTTCCTGGTGTGCGGGAAGGCACGCCAACGAGGGCCAATTACAAAATTCACTTATCAAGGCTTCAACCTACACTGGCTGAAAAATCAAAACTGCTCTGTACAGTTACCATCTAGGACTTTCTTCCTTAACTAACGCCAACAATTCTCCCAAAACTTAAGCATAGAACGTAAAATAAAATAAAACCCCACAAGACACGGAAAATAAAAAATTCCTGCGTAAAAGGAACGACACCTTCTACGTTGCGACTCGAAATTAAAAGGTATCTAGAAGCCACATGACCTTTTCTTCGCCTTCCCCCCCTGAAAGAGACACGATGGCACCTCCATCGGTTGAGCGTCGGTTGGGCTCTCGGCGCGCGCGCCTTCCACCTCCGCTCCCTACAGGTAAACGAGGCCCACCCTTCCGGAAACGCCAGGCGCCGCGGCGCCGCGGCAGCTCGCCCAGCCCTCCCCCCACCCTCTCACGGAGGCCCACCACCACCAAGAATTGGCCAGTTTCATCTCACTGAGGTTCCCTGTGCACCCCTCCCAGGCCTCGAAGGCTGCGGGCCAATACCTGGTAGTGAATACGAAAAGACTGCAAGTCCAATCACGTCGAGTCACTCCACAGACCAGGAACAGACAGCCGACACCACCCGCCGCTTCTGAATGTTCCGGCTCGGCGGGGCTGAGATTTATGCAACGTCTGTGGCTGACTCACACTTCTACGTAGCCGCGGTGTCCATACGCCGCTGAAAGTAGTTCACTTGGCCCCACCTCCCGCGACGCAGTCAGGCCCTTCCCCTACGCCCCAAATTCCTCAGATCCGGGAAAAAGGATCCTAAAAATTCAGCTCCCCTCTTTCTGGGCTATCCTTCGCCTCCTTTAGGAAAACGTAGAAAAGTCATCAGGCGGATGAATTCGAGTTGCGGGAACCTGCCTCGAAAGCTCTGGAAACTTCCTTGCGGCGCCGGCGCTGATTGGTGAGACGCGAGACGGCGAGGCCGGCGGTGATTGGTCAGGGACGCGGCGGCTCGGCTGTTGCTGGGCTCCCGGCTGGGAGAGCAGACATTGTTAAGTGACCGAGTGCGCGTGCGCCGCAGAGGCGCGCCTTCGAGAGAGAAGGGTGTTTCCGGCCGGGGGTCGGGGAGGGTTTCTCCGTTCCTGCCTCCATATACCAAATTCCAAACCTCAAAGTCTCGTTTTTGGTGATTAAGAGCAGGAAGCAGGCGGGTCCGCGCCGTCTTTCACGGGAAGGCCGCTCGGCTCCCGGTTCGGAGATAGAGTGGGGCGGCGCGGCCGGTAGCTATTTTTCCTCGTGTCTACTGTGAACCACAAGCCCACTTCCCGAGATCTGAAAAGCGCGCCCCTCCCACCACACTGGCGGGTTTTCATTCTTGCTCTTGGTTGCGGAGCTTTACCCATGCTTCCACACAGGTGGAGTGCTTTCGTCGCGCCGGATCCTCACAAGGGCTCCAGGGGCGTCTGTGGATCCGGACTGCCGTAGAGGCCCCCTCGCGCGCCCCAGCCCTCCCGGCCTTCAGGTGCCGCGGGGTAGGCTCGCACCTGGCTCGGAAAAACCCGCTGGTCCTGGCCCTCCTTGCTCTTGCTCTAAATTCTGCTGAGAAAAAGAGAAAGACAGGCTAGGGACCGGAAACCCTCCTCAAGAGACGGAATTCGTGTACGAGGAAGTAGCTAATAGTTCTACCATTAGTGTGTGCGTTGTTCAGGCGACACTAAGGGCCAGGTTAACCAGCTAGGTAGGACCAGCTTGTGGGCTCCCTGGGTGTGGTCACTAGTGTCGCTAGCAGATAACTAGGGGAAGGTGAGTGAGGCAGATGTTTGCTTCTGGTGGCCACGAGGCCCTGTGTCTGAGTCACAGGGGTGGGGGTGTAAATACACCCGCAAATGGCTGTCAGGCAATACCGACCTTCCTAAAAACTGCTTTTAGTTTAAAGAACTGCTTTAGTATAATTAGTTAGATATCACTTTTAGAAAGGCTCGCTAGTCATTAAATGACATTTCTAAGCTCAACATTAAGAAACGATGTTCATCAATATATAATACAGACAGGTATATGAGTTAACACCTAGACAGCGTTAAGTAAAATTTACCAAAACTTGGTAAGATCTGCTTACTTGAATAATCAGTAGCTAGAAGTAAATTTTCTTTAAAATAATTTAAAATGTTTATTTTACAAAGTAGGAATGTTCATTTTTGTCAACCCTGCAATGAGCCTGAGCAGCATCTCCTGAGTCATACTTGTTGACTGGTAGGTAGAAGGATCTAGAGTGAAGACTCATGATTAATAATGATGATTTTGTTGGGAGTTCTAGCAGTTGCCAGAAGTCATCCACTTTTGCCCAAGTGTGTCACTTGGTGACCTCATCAAAGCAAAATGTTTTCAGAAGGAAGGCATGTGCTGCCCAGGAGGAATTTTTTGTGGTATGTTTATAAATGAAATAAAATATTATTTTTGGTGATAAATTGTGAATTGTAACTTGTAAGCAAACTAAAGAATAGAATACAAGATGGCAAAGATCTGGAATTTGGCAATCACTCACAATATTTGGCATTATGCTCAAATGTTTGTTCAGTGAAGTGCAATTTTTCCTTTTGTTCAACTGGAAAAAAAACCCTCACAACTTTAAGAAAGCCTTAGGGCCTACAGTACAAAGCAGAAAGATAGTACTTAATCTCCACAGGCAAATAGTTTTTGCCCAGGCAGTTCCTTTGAAAGAAACAAAGAGGAATTGATTCTGAGATTCTAAATTATTTTACTTGACTAGATGTCTTTTTTTTTTTATCCTCACCTGAACACATTTTTAAATTTATCTTCAGATAGAACGGAGGGAAGAAGAGAGAGAGAAACATCGGCTAGTCACCACCCACATGACCTCAACAGGGGCTGGGGACAAACCACAAGGGAGGTACTGCCCTTAGCAGAAACCAGACCCGGGACTCTCCAGTACACAGGCTGATGCTCTAACCACTTAGCAAACCAGCCAGGGCTGACTAGATGTCTTTTAATAAAAATCTGTGGGCCCGGCCAGTGTGGCTCAGTGATTGAGCGTCGACCCATCCACCAAGAGGTTGCTGGTTTGATTCCCGGTCAGGGCACATGCCCAGGTTGTGGGGCCCGATCCCCAGTGAGAGCCATGCAGGTGGAAGCCAATCGATGTTTTCTCTCATCAATGTTTCTCTCTCCCTCTCCCTTCCTCTCTCTCTCTAAAAAAAATTTGTGGGGAAACTGTGGTTCTAATCAGAAATTCACAATTGTCTTGACATTATCAATTGATATTTAATATATGGAGTTAGTTTGTGGTTTGTCATTTCCTCATTTGTCTGCTTATCTCAACAGAATTATGAGACCCCTGATTAATTACCAACAAATTAGAAACTTTAATTTTGAATGACCGAATGAACACAGAGCAAAATTCTATATTGTTTTTATATTGGGCCTCAGAATTATAGAAATCTATCCATTAAAAGGTAGCTATTTAAAAATGTTTTATTATGGCCCTGGCCGGTTTGGCTCAGCGGTTAGAGCGTCGGCCTGCGGTCCTGAGAGACCCGGGTTCGGTTCCTGCTAAGGGCATGTACCTCGGTTGCAGTTTGTCCCCGGCCCTGGTCGATTGTGCGGGTGGCAGCCACTCGATGTGTGCCTTTCACATCGATGTTTCTCTCTCTCTCTCTGTTCCTTTCTCTCCCCCCCCCCCCCCCCCCCCCCCCCCGCTCTACCTGAACAAAAAATGGAAAAATGTCCTCGGGTGAGGATAAAAAAAAAAAATGTTTTATTATGAAATATTATGAGACCTGGAGATAGAACAAGCACCATGAGCTCTGGCAGGTGTGCTTAAGTGGTTAGAGCATCGGCCAGCACATCAGGGTGGAGGGTCCTAGTCAAGGGTAAGTACCTGCGTTGCAGGTTCAATGCCCTAGCTGGGTTGGGGCTAGTGTGAGAGGCAACCAATCCATGTGTCTCTCTTACACTGATGTTTCTCTCTCTCCCCACCCCTTCCCTTCCACTGTCTCTCAAAGTCAATGGAAGAAATATCCTTGGATGAGGATTAAAAAAAATAAAAACAAAAACACCATAAAATCACTACTCAACTTTATGAAAACTTAACATTTTGCTATTTTACTTCAGCTTAAAAATGTTTTAGTGTAGTGAAAAATGCAATATAAAACTTACCAGTATTAAGCGTACAGTTCATCCTGGCCGGTGTGGCTCAGTGGTTGAGCTTTGATCCATGCACCAAGAGGTCGCCAGTTTGATTACCCGTCAGGGCACATGCCCAGGTTGTGGGCCAAATCCCCAGTGGGGGGCATGCAGGAGGCGGCCAATCGATGTTCTCTCTCATTGATGTTCTCTCTCATTGATGTTTCTCTCTCTCCCTCTCTAAAAAAAAAAAAAAAAAAAAAGTGTACAGTTCAGTATGTGTTAACTATAGTCACATTGTTTATCTCTGGAACTTTTTCATCTTGCAAAACTGAAACTCTATACCACTGAACCAAGACTCCCCATTTATCCCTTCCCCCAGCTCCTGATAATCACCATCTACTTTCTTTTTTAATGATTTTGTTTTGTTTTGTTAATCCTCACCCAAGGATATTTTTTTCATTGATATTTAGAGAGAGTGGAAAAGAGAGAGAAAGAAACATTAATGTGAGAGAGATACATTGATCGGTTACCTCCTGTACGAACCCTGACCTGGCCAGGGATTGAACCTGCAACCCAGGTATGTGCCCTTGACTGGGAGTCAAACACAAAACCCTTTGGTTTTGGGATAATGCTCTAACCACTGACCCACACCATCCAGGGCTGTTTCTATGATTTCGACTACTTTAGATAAGTTGTTTAAGTAGAATCATACAATATTTGTCTTCTTGTGACTGGTTTATTTCTCTTAGCCTAATGTCTTCAAGGTTCATCCATGCATTTGACAAAATTTCCTTCTTTTTAAAGACTGACTAATATTATATTTATTAGTCACCCCATGTTGACTATATATATATATACACCCCATGTTGTGTTAGCGGTTCATGTCTTTATGGATATTTGGGTTGCTTTCATCTTTTGACTATTGTGAGTAATGCTGCAATGAACATGGGTGTGAAAATATCTCTTTAAGAGTCTTCTTTAAGTTCTTTCGGATTTATACTCAGAAATGAATTAATTCTATTTTTAGTGTTTTTAGGAATCTCCATACTGTTTTACATAGCAGCTGTACCATTTTACATTTTCAACAACAATGCACAAAGTGTTCCAATTCTCCAGTTTCTTACCCACACTTGTTACTTTCTGGTTTTTCAAAATATTTTTAAAAAATATATTGATTTTAGAGCAAGAAGTGGGGAGAGAGAGAAATATCAATTTGTTGTTTCACTTATTTATGCATTCATTGGTTGGTTCTTGTGTGTGCCCTGACCAGGGATTGAACCTGAAACCTTGGCATATTGTGACGAGGCTCTAATCAACTAGCTGCCTGGCCGGGGCTTACTTTCTTTTTTTAACTAATTAATTATTATTTTGTAAAATATTTTTTTATTGATTTTTTAGAGAGAGATAGAAACATTGATCGGCTGCCTCTTGCACCCCGCCTACTGGGGATCAAGCCCCCAATCTGGGCTTGTGCCCTGACTGAAAATTGAACTGGGACCTCTCAGTCCATGGGACGATGCTCAATCCATTGAGCCACACCAGCCT